CTGTCCCCTGCTCCCTCCCTCTTTCCCTGCCAGGGTGGGGCACACTCCCCTGCACAGGGCCTGTGGTCTTGCAGCAGCACGGGTGGGGCAGAGGAGCCTGAGTAGCTCCCATGGGGCCTTTAAGAAGCCTCAGTGACCAGCTGAGTCCCTTCCCTGCAGCCACAGCCCGCAGCAGTGAGAAGCAAGCCCTCATGTCAGAGCTGAAGATCATGAGCCACCTGGGGCCCCACCTGAACGTGGTCAACCTGCTGGGGGCCTGCACCCAGGGAGGTAGGAGAGCCACCCCAGGACTCTGGGGAAATGCCCACTGGCTACCCAGGATGCCCCGACTCCTGCTTCACCTGTGGATAGCAGGACAGTGCAATGGGGCACCACACCCTCCCGCCCAGCACTCTCCCTTCACAGTCCCAGATGGGTGTGGGACTTAGGAGCCTGCAGAGTCACATCTTCCTGGTCAAAGGACTCCTCAGGCTTCCAGTTCTGGGAGTTTCCAAATCAAAGTGACCTTGGACATTCTTGTATTTTTACAATACGTTTTGAAAATGGGGATAAATAACAATTCATGTTATATTGAGAAGAATCTTGTTACCTGCCACCCCTTCCCCCAAGACCATCAGTGAGATAACTGGGAGCTGCTTTCTTCTGATCACAGGAGAAAGTCCCTCTGCCCTACTGTGTTTATTTGAAGATCTCATTGCAAAAAAAAAAAAAAAGAAGAAGAAGAAGAAGAAGAAGAAATGGTCGTTTGTAACTGCTTTAGAGAGATTTGGGATTTTCCTCAGGATTGTGCAATCAAATCAAAATACAAAACTGTGTTTCACACATAGACCAGTTCACATCTGCAATCATCACTCATTTCAAAAGTTATTTTATTTTATTTTTTCTTTCTTTTTGGTACTGGGGATTGAACCCAGGGTCACTTTGCCACTGAGTTTCCTCTGCAACCCTTTTTATTTATTTATTTATTTTTAAATTTTGAGACTTTTGCTAAGTTGCTGAGGATCTCACCAAGTTGCCAAGAGGGACCTTGAACTCCTGATCCTCCTTCTTCAGCCTCTAGAGTAGCTGGGATTACAGGGGTGCTCCACTGTGCTTGGCACTCATTTCAAAATTTTGTTTTTATCAATATCTTCACTGTCTACTTGTTGACTTTGAGTAAAAGCATTAAATTTGAACATAACCAGTAAACTGATAATGGAGAGCACTTTCCTCTCCCTCTTTACATATACCAGATACCAAAATAAGCTTGAGTGTGAAAACATAGCAGTTATGTCCTTGTCATGTGCCATGATTGGTCTCATTATTCCTTGTGAGAGTCCTTTGAGGGGGGTGTTAGTTCACAGATGGGGGAGGGGAGGCCCAGGGAGGTTAAGTATCTATTGCCTGCAGTCGGAGGCAGGAAGAGGACCCAGGTGTGCCAGGCACCTACCCTCAGCTGTCATGCCCACAACCTCTCCCACATTCAGCCTGTTTATTGGCCCCGTGGCCCTCATGGGAAGCCTGAGGGCCCCTGGGGCCTGTGCCCACCGCCCTCCCCTGCAGGCCCCATCTACATCATCACCGAGTACTGCCGCTATGGCGACCTGGTGGACTACCTGCACCGCAACAAGCACAGCTTCCTGCAGCACCACTCGGACAAGCACCGCCCACCCAGTGCTGAGCTCTACAGCAACGCCCTGCCCACGGGGCTCCCTCTGCCCAGGTAGGAGGAGGCAGCCGCCTGCACAGCCCCCTTGCCCTTGCTCCTGCAAGGGGCAGCTGGGGCCCTGGGGAGGGGGCAGAGTCACTCCTGGTGACTCTTTCTCAAGTCAGCCCTCCATGGACCAGGGAAGGCCAGTAGTGATGGGGATAGTGCTGGGCTCTGCTGCCCCCTGCTACCTGCCCCAGTGTGCCAGGTCCTGTGCTTGAGCCCTCTGCAGATGGGACCCCTGACACCACAGTCCTGTGTCCAGGGTGTCGTGGTCTCCTGCCCCAGGGACACTGTGGGCAGAGGCAATCGTGGGCTGAGAGCTGGGCCTCCCGAGGTGCACTGTGGGCCCTGCTCCCCCCACCGTCTCCCCATTCCCTCTACACACACCCCGGTGCCCCTCGGCAGCTCAACTCTTGGTTTCAATGTTTCCGAAAAGAGCAGTTCTCAGTTATTTTGCTGATTACAAAGACAAGGACAAGGGTAACTTAGATCAGTGTCTGAGACATTGGCATCTGCCTCTCCTCGCCAGCATTGACCTGTTTCCTAGCCGTCTTTAGGCTGCCCATACAGACACACCTGTGAACAGCCCACAGCCCTTTGGGGAGTGAGGTCGAAGTCAGAGGTATCAAGGCGATGCCCTGCTGCCCACCCTGGGTCACGGCCTGGCACCTGCCGGGGTAGCTGGTGTGCAGGAAGGCCCCAAAGAGGCCTCTGCACCCGCCCATCCTGTGCCCCTTGTCCTGGGTATTGTAATCTCTTCTGGTATGATCTCTCTGAGGACACTTACTGGGTCTTATGTCACCGTGGCAGCCCCAGCACCAAGCTCAGGGCCACAGAGGTTAGTCAGGGGGCTGGATCTGTGGTCACTTGTGTTGTAACACACTGAAGGGCGAGGGGTGCATGAGTGAAAGAAGAAATCCGTGAGCGACAGGGCCTCAGGGGTCCCCAGGGTGACCTCGGGGTACGAGGGGGAAGGAAAGAGGAAGCCAGTGACCTTCCTGTTGTGTTCCTCTTACTCCCCAGCCACGTGTCTCTGACTGGGGAGAGCGATGGTGGCTACATGGACATGAGCAAGGACGAGTCAGTGGACTACGTGCCCATGCTGGACATGAAAGGAGACGTCAAATACGCAGACATCGAATCCTCCAACTACATGGCCCCTTATGATAACTACGTCCCCTCTGGTAGGTGGATGCAGTGTGCTCAGACCTGCCCAGGCTCACACTCATGCAGAGATACATTCTTTACAAAGCCCTTCACACTCCCAGCCTTGCAGCAATCCTGGAGCAAGATGGCCTTGTGCCCATTTCATAGATGTGGAAATTGAGCTTGGCCCCCTGCCCAAAGCTGCTGTATAGGGGGCCCTCAATATGAAGCCCTGTTTATGGGTCTAGAGGCATGAACACAGCCCTCAGGGAGAGTTAGAGCTCGGGTGGGGTTGGGCACACCTCCTGCAACCTGCAGAAAAGTGATCAGCTTTGAACTGGCCCCAGGCTGGTCTAATGTTCATAAGAAACAGGGCTAAACCTTTTTTTAGTTATTTGGTAGTACTGGAGATTGAACCTAGGGGCTCTCTACCTATATTCCTAGTTTTGGGGGTCTTTTTTGGTTTTGGGACAGGGTCTCAATAATTTTCTGAGGGTCTTGCTAAGTTGCTGAGACTGCCTTTGAACTTGTGATTTTCCTGCCTCGGCCTCCCAAAAAATGGGATTACAGGTGTGTATCACCATACCCAGCCTAAACTTTTTTTCTGGCCGTTGAGGACACTGGTGATGTAGGAGAGGTTTAGGCTAGACATGAAGAACCATCCTTTCAGGAGAGACCTAGAAGATCCGGAGCCACCTGCCTTGGACATTCAGCCCCACAAGCCAAAAGACAGGGTCCTCTGGGCCACTGGGGTACATGAGATGACCTGTGACTCTCTGCTCTCCCCCAGCTCCTGAGAGGACTTGTCGGGCTACTTTGATCAATGAGTCCCCAGTGCTTAGCTACACAGACCTTGTGGGCTTCAGCTACCAGGTGGCCAATGGCATGGAGTTTCTGGCCTCTAAGAATGTAGGTGTGGTCATCATGGGGCAGGGTGGGGCTGTGGGTCCTCCAGACGGCCAGAGTCCTCCAAAAAACAACTACCTCTCCTTTGGGGGTGGGAATACTGAGGACCCCCCACCTGGACATTTTCCCCAAACTCTCACCACGGAGGGCTTCCCACAATTCTCCTAAGGTGTCCTCTGCTCTCTTCCCTGACCCAGTGTGTTCATCGGGACCTGGCAGCCAGGAATGTGCTCATCTGTGAGGGCAAGCTGGTCAAGATCTGTGACTTTGGCCTGGCTCGAGATATCATGCGGGACTCAAACTACATCTCCAAAGGCAGTGTGAGTACCTACCAGGCTCGCACTCTGACGCCAGGATCAGGTTCCCTCCTGACCAGCATGGCTTTAATGCTTAGGAGCTCAGCACAGGGCTCCTCATGGCTGGTCCTGCTCAGTTAGATGGTCAGTGCCTGCCAACTGTGTGCACAAGGACAAGAGAGGGAGCCACTAGCTGCGCCTGGAGTAGGAAAAGGCAAATAATCCCAGGTCCACTCGTCACAGCTGGGGCTGAGGGACCAGCTGCAGTGGCCAGGGATGGGCAGGAAGAGGGTGTGCAGATCAAATCTGTTGTCCCAGGAGTGATGGGCAGAGGAAGAAACCCAAGTGACATGGTAAAACAGATGCTCACAGGCAGTAGTGGGATTGGCTTGGATAAAATGTGACCATCCTGCTTCCCACCCATCTTCCTGCTTCCTGTGAACCCCAGAGGGGGAGGGGCTCTAGAGCCCAGGGACCAAAGGTAGCCAGGATGAAAACTGGGAGGTGGCTTGGAATGTACCTTGTCCCTCCACCCCTCTTCTTAGACCCAGGGCTTTTCCCCAGGGACAGGGGCTGCTGTGTCCTTAGCTAATGAGGAGAGAAGACTCCCTGCTGCTGTGGCCAGGAATAGGGTGGGCATGGGAGCTGTGCAGACCCTGGAGGAGGAGGGGGAAGCAGCTGGCAGTGGAGCTGCTGGACCTCCTCCTCCCACCCAGGTGCAGAGTGGGCTGGGAACTGGCCACTGGCCCCTCTGGGCACTCAGCGCTGCTCCTGCCCCCACAGACCTTCCTGCCTCTGAAGTGGATGGCCCCGGAGAGCATCTTCAACAGCCTTTACACCACCTTGAGCGATGTGTGGTCCTTTGGGATCCTGCTCTGGGAGATCTTCACATTGGGTGCGCTGCCTCTTGCTCCCTCAGGGGCACAGCATTCCCTTCCCTCCACCTCCCATCTGGTGGGGCTGTGGCAGGGTGTTGGGACATGGGTCAGGGGACCTGTGGCGAGTGCTCTGCTCCTTTCTCCCACTGTGCTGCTCTGGCAAGACCCTTGCCGTCTCTAGATCTCTTTACCCCTCTACCCAAGGATCAAGGGAAGCCTGCTTGGCTCTGGTGTTCCCTGGCTCTCTGTCCTGAGGAGTACTGTGTCTCCTAGGAGCCCAGGAAGGATCTCCATTTCCCAATGCCAAGGACACTGCACCCTCCTCCACCAGGACCAGCCTGCTGTCCTTGTGCTGTAGAAGAGGGCACCCTGCTCCGTGTCACACCCTGAGCCTGTGTATCCCTGTCTTCTCCACAGGTGGCACCCCTTACCCGGAGCTGCCCATGAACGAGCAGTTCTACAATGCCATCAAGCGCGGTTACCGCATGGCGCAGCCTGCTCACGCCTCTGCTGAGATGTGAGTGGAGCCTCGTGCCCTGGGGGGGATTTCCTGGATGAGACAGTGGACATGTAGCTCTACCAGCTTCAGCCAAAGAGAGTTCTCAGCTCAGAGATCCAGAAAAGTCTAGCTACACCTGGCTCTGGGTGTTTGTGTGCTCAGGAATCCCTTCTGCCCTGGGCTCTGCTTGTCTCTGGGCCAGCCTCACTCTCAGGCTGGCACTGCCCACATGGCTGCCACAGTGCCAGCCGATGACTTGCACTGCCAAAGCCCCAGAGCTGACCTCTGTGGCTCAGCTGGGGTCGTATGCCATCAGAACCCGCCTCTGACCAGAGAGGATGAAGCCCCTCTGGGCTGCACCTGGGCCACGTGCTCCCCACAGGTGGCCGACCCCACAGAGCCAGTGGTGGGTGGTGCTGGCTGCCACGTCTCCCGACACCCTGGTCCCTGCTCCTCTTATTCTGAGAGGCGGTGGCTCCAGCTCCCAGCACCGCCCGCCCCCACCAGAGCCAGGGGGCCTGACCCTCTCTGCCCCTCCCCAGCTACGAGATCATGCAGAAGTGCTGGGAAGAGAAGTTTGAGGTTCGGCCTCCCTTCTCCCAGCTGGTGCTGCTCCTCGAGAGGCTGCTTGGCGAGGGCTACAGAAAGGTATGTGGAGCAGGGTGGGGGTGGGGCACAGCGCTCCATCAGTTCAGACCCTGGGTCCCTGGCTCGGAGTGCTGTGCTGGCATTTGGGGTACAGCCTTCCTCTGCTCTGGGCCTCAGTTTCTCTGCTGATCCCAGGACGGGGTGGGCGGAGCTGAGTCTATTCCAGCAGCTCCAAGAAGGGACACTGACTAGTGACACCCTTAGGAGAGGCTACGACCTCTGCCCCCGTGCCCATTTCTGGGGCTCCTTCAGAGGTGTGAACAACCCAGGCCACATGGCTTCCAAACCCAAGCCCTCAGACCCTGCTGTAGGCTGCTCAGAGACAAATGGGGCCTCCTGGGGGCCTAACCCCTGCCTCTCCTAGTGACAGGGGAGGCACATCTCTTTGGCACAGGCACAGCCTTATCCTCAGCTCCACTTCTCATCCCCTTGGGGTTGTCCTGGGGTGACTGAGATGGCAAGGAGTTGTCATTATCTCATAGAAAGGGACACCAAGGCCCCAGTGGGGGGTCAAGTTGGAATGAGAGCAGGAACTGCCTCCTCCAGGTGAGGGCAAGTGAGGGTTGGGGTGCTGGTTCCATCAGTGCCACTCTATGGGTGCTCCTGACCCCACCTGGTCTTGATAGATGCCAGGTGGGAGGCAGCTCAGCTGTGTGGCGTTGGTCACTCTCTGAGCACCCTCTGCCTTCCCTACTCAAGGTAGGAGAGGCTGGGTCAGATCTGCCTGGGCGTGTCCCATCTGACCATTTATGCCCCTCTTATGCTCCTCCCCCCGACGGAGCAGAAGTACCAGCAGGTGGACGAGGAGTTTCTGAGGAGTGACCACCCAGCCATCCTGAGGTCCCAAGCCCGCTTCCCTGGATTCCACAGCCTCCGATCTCCCCTGGACACCAGCTCTGTCCTCTACACTGCCGTGCAGCCCAGCGAGGGTGACAACGACTATATCATCCCCCTGCCTGACCCCAAACCAGAGGCTGCTGATGAGGGTCTGCTGGAGGGTTCCCCCAGCCTCGCCAGGTAGCCACCCTGGCTGGGACCTGGGGCTACAGGGTGCACAGAGTGTGGGTGTGTCTGCGTCAGGCTTGACCCAGCAGCCAGTTCCCTGGGGTGAAGACTTATTCCTACAGGTGAACAGAGGGCAGAATGGGGCTCTCTTGACCTTTGAGCCCTCAGGTGGGAGGGGCAGGCTGCATAGAAAAAGGATGGGCGGGGCTATCCGAAAGAGAGCTCCTTCCTTGAGGGGAATCCCACAGTTGCCCTCTCTAGGCCCTGTCCTAGCCCCACGGGGAAGGAGGGAACCTACTGAATGTCCCCAGCATGCTGAGGAGTGACCACCTGTGGGGTCCCAGCCAGCCTTAGGCTGTGCTCCATGCTTAGCACTGTGCCCAGAGAGCCCAGCAGCCTGGCTGTAGGAGGCAGAGGTGGCCAAAGGTCAACCCAGAATGCAGACTGGGAAGGAGACTCATGTGCTCTTCTGTCTTGGGGTGGGGTTTAAGTCCAGGGAGGGCTTTGGAGGGAGGTCCACTGGAGTCTCTACTTGATGTTCAGAGATCACCTGCCTCAGCTAGAGAGAGGGCTCCCTGGAGGCCAGAGCCACCCACCCCAAACAAGATCCAGCCCCAGGGGAGGTGGCAGGAGTCCTAGGCTGGGTTCTAACTCCAACTCTGCCACCATAAGCCCTGGGCAGGCTTTGTCCCTGTGACCCTCAGTTTCTCCACATGTGCTGACAGTGCACACAGGCCCCTGGGGACCCTGAAGGCCCTTTTCCTTCTGTCAATGAGACTAACATTCCAAGACCTGGGTAGACAGGACAGGATTCAGCCCAGAGTTCTAACAGCTTGAGGTGTGAATGCTGGCTGTTTTATGCCCTTGGACAGCTGCTACACCTCTCTGAACCTCAGTTTCCTCTTCTATTAAATAAAAACAGTAAAAGTCTTTCTCTTAGGGTCTTGCCATGAGGATTAAGTGAGATAATGTCTCAGAATATAGAGGATGGAGATGCTGGGAATGGGAATTGAAGTGTGGGGCCAGCTTGGCCTGCTCCAATGTCCCAGTCCCTGCACATGCCCACGGTGTGAGGTAGGGCAATGACATGACCTCTCTGAGCTGTGCTTGTCTCCTGGCTCAGGCCTTATGGGGTCTTTAAAGGATTCAACGAGCAGAAGTGTGCAAAGCTGGGTTCAAGAAATCCCTCAGCGCCTGCTGTGGCCCAGCCCTCACCCACTTGCCTTTTTCCTCCAGCTCCACCCTGAATGAAGCCAACACCTCCTCTACCATCTCCTGTGACAGTCCTCTTGACCCCCAGGAAGAACCAGAGCCAGAACCCCTGCCCCAGCCCCAGGGGGACTCCCAGATGGAACTGGAGCCACCAATGGATGCAGGCTGCCCTGGGCCTCGGGCCGAAGCAGAGGACAGCTTTCTGTAGGGGCTGGACCCCACCCTATGCCACGAGAAGCTCCCCTTCTGCCACCAGGCCACAACCCCCGGGCCTGGCATCCTGTGAGCCATGCTGCTCCTGCCAGCTGTCCCATGTGGAAGGCTTCTGTCCCTGCCACACTGCTCCCCAAGCCCTGGGGCTGGCTCAGGAGGCCAGAGAACTGCAGGACCATGCCCAGCCTCTGCCTCAGGGAGGCCATGTGACTGAGCCACGGTCCCTCCCAGGGGACCCAGTTTCCCAATGCACAAGATGAGACATTGAACTTGGTAGTTCACAGTCTACCTGGGAGTCTCCCTGGCTGACAACTGGGGAGGCTGGAATCTGGGGGAGCTTCCTGGGGGAATGGCGTAGTTAGTAACCTCTCTCTGTTCAGCCAACTGCCCCTCAAGGAGTCGCAGGCTTGTCCCCACACTTCTATCTGCCCAGGAGCTGGGGAAGAAACCCCGGCACCCCTGGCTCCTGGCTGAGCTGGGCCTGCCCTGGCCAGTGTTGCTTCGCTCTGAAGCCACCTCCCCTGACACTAGTCTCTGCTTTCCCAGGCCCGAGCAGGTCTGGGCCAGCCATGCTTAATTAGTGCTGTAATTATTGCTGGGACTGAACCAAGTACAGCACTCCCCAGCCTGCAGACCCAGCCCAGGGCACTCAGGGCACACTGGCTGTGGACAGTGCCCATATCTTCCAGGCCCCTTGTGTTCTGAGGCTTTTTCTCATCGTCCCTGGTTACAGGCCCAGCGGATCCTACATCTGAAACAAATGTGTTGATGTGCCAGCATTATGTCCACATGTGTACACCAGTAGGTGGCCCTGACTCTGCATTGAACCTGCTGTGACCTTGGAGGAATCCCTTGCCCTCTCTGGGCCCATTTTCCCCTTTGAAGAGTGAGCAAGTTGGACTCATTCACTCTGAGTGCCCTGTCAACACTAATATTCTAGAATATTCCTGTGGTTTGCATGCTTGTCCAGATGAAGCAAGGTCAAGTACCCTAAACTTCCTAGTTGGGGGGCTGCTGGCCTCTGGGGAGATTCCAAATGACATATCACAGTCCGGGCATTCAGGTACGTGACCCTTCCTCCGCCCCAAATGCAGCTGTGATGACCTTGGCTTGGAGTACCCTGGAAAGCCCCCAGCAGCTGCTCCAGGGACACAGGAGGACCACAAGACCCCCTTGAGGACCCACGATGAACTCTGGAGATATCCTGGGCAAGGGGGCAGGGAGGGAGGTCATTACCTCATGTAGCCCAATAGTGCCCCCAAGGTATTTGCAACAGACAGAATAGACAGTAAGGATGGTTGTGTCCCATGAAGAACAAGAGCCTCAGGATGTGCACCCCAGGAAAGGGGCACAAGAGGTGGGCACTTTGGAGGTTTCCTCCTTAACTGCCGGCTGCCCATCCTGGAGGGAGTACCTGGTGGAGTAGGGTCTTGTCACTGCCCAGGTGATACCTCACTGCCCTGAAACCAGTGGGCATTGGCCATTACAGGGCAGTGAGGGATATGGTCACTTCGCCCAGGAGGGGGAGGGCTGGCCAGGGGATAAGGCAAGGTCAGCCCTCCTGGACACAGTCACCAAGCTAGTTGGTGTCTCCCAACCCGAGGGCCCCAGAGACTCCCCAAGGAGAGAGGGGGAGTCAGTCTTCGCTACGGTACCAAAGATATAATCACCTACGTTTACAAGTATTTTTTAGGACTCACATTAACTCACATGTATACATCAAAGTGTTATTTTGTATGCTGTTCAGTTTTCCTATCTGTGTACTTTTTTTAAGGGAAAGATTTTAATATTAAACCGGGTGCTTCCACTCACCGACTCTGGTCTCACTTGGGTTTGGGTGTGGGTATGGAGTGAGCGGCAGTCAGAGCGCATCCCGACAGATCCCTTCAGCTCTGGTCTCCTTTCCCTCTTCTCAAAAAGGGATTTTCATTTCTCCCACTCCTTCCTAGTGGCTGGGTGACCTTGACCTTGGACTTGGTTTCTCAATATGAGCTGAGGAGGCTCCTCTTCCTCTGTTGTGCCTGAGCAGTTCTGGGTAGGAGAACTTGGAGCCCACAGGCCTGCTCAGAGGCTCCAGCACTGGGGAGCCCAAGCCCTTCCTGCTCCCCCTTCCCCCACCATGTGCTCTGGCTTTGGCTATTAAGCTGGGGCACTGTCTGCCCCCCTGCACTCTGCCCGTGGGCCTGATGAGGCTCCTGTGGCTGGTGAAGGGCATCGGCAGAGCCCGGATTCCAGGTCTGGGTGAGTCATGGTTGGGACCCAGGCAGGAGTAGGGCAGACAGAGCATACAAGGGCCCCAGACAGGAATAGGAAGAAGGTAGGGGAGAGAGAAGAGGAAGAGGAGAGAGGAAGGAAGGAGAGTGTGGCTAGGGAGGCCAGGGGATGGCATGGGCACCTCGCTGTGGCTCTGAGGCAGAGTCTAGCCAGGCGGGACAGTGGGGCACAGACCACAGGCTGCAGAGCCTCACTGCTGCAGTACCTCAGTGGCTGTGGGGCTGGCATGAGGGGGGCGTCCTGGTCCCTCTGGCCACCCCAGCACTGGCCATCAGCTCCTCTGTGTAGTTGTGCCTATTAGCCACTGGCTGCACAGTACCAGGGCAACAGAGCCACTGGGGCAGAGGGCAGACGCAAGGGTCCCAGGCCAGGACAGCGGTCCCTTGCCCTCCACCTGTACTGCTTGAGAGGATCCCTTGAGATGGAACTTGGTTTTAGCTTGAGGCCAATCATTTCTACACTGTGTCCTCAGGCCAACGTCCCCCGTCTCTGAGCAGAGGGATGGGCATCTCTGCTTGGACCTGGGGGAAGGGTGCCTTGTTTTGGAGCTGCAGGTCTCCCTGGACTGTCTCCAGTAGTCTGTGGCTGTGGCTGTGGTTGCAAGTGGGCAGAGGACAGGACTGTGGCCAGCTCTGACTCACAGCCCTGCAGCCAACTCAGGGGCAGCTGAGTCATGTCAGGGAAACCCGACCAGCGAGGGCCTGGACATACCAAGCCCCCACCACTGGGGTCCTGCTCTACAGCGCACCCAGAACTCACGACCTCTTCTCTCCTGGCTGTGGCAGTAGTTGATTAAGGCAAAACCTGGATCCACCCTAGAAAGAGTAAACAACCCACATTCCAGAAGGGATTGTCTCTGCTCTTGGGGAAGCCTGTTTGCAGGTCAGGAGACTCCAGGCCCCATCTCAGCCTGCTCCTCCTGGGACCTTGGGTGGGTCACACCATATCAGAGCCCAGTTCCCTTGTGGTTAATGGAAAAAAACAAGGCCACAGAGATGAGGCAGGATGAAAGTCTGGCTGCCATTAGCCACTAGGTGGTGCTCAGGGGCTGTCTGTGCTTCATTCATTTTTCTTATTTCCCCCTCATCAGTCCTAGGAACCTAGTACAGGTACAGATGAGAGAGGAGATTGCAAAACGACTTGCCCGGGATCATTTGGACAGTGTGTCTGGGTAGGGAGGGAGCCTGGGCCTGGCTGCCTTGCAGATTGGATCTCAGGAAGCTAAGGCACCCACCCAAGGGGGCAGAGCCAGGGATCTGAGAAGCTGGGCTCCAAATCCTGACTCCTGACTCATACCTTTCTGGTACCATATGTCCCTAAAGGAAAGCCTGTTTGAGAGAGAAGAGCCGGGTGAATTGAGGGCTGGGTGAAAATAAGAAAACATAGATTGGGAGAGGGCCCTGTGCAGAGCAGGTGCAGGGAGCTGAGGTGACCTGGGTCACCCCTGCCTGGTCCTTCCCAGGGGAGATGGGTGAGCTGGAATTTTCCTCCCAGACAGATGAGGCACTCGGACTACACATTGCTTCCACCACCCACTGTCCGCCTGGGTCCTTCTTCCTGGAAAAAGAGGGAAAGACTGAAAGAGTTTGTTCTGCTGGGCCCTGAGCTGCAGCCCAGGAGGGGCCTCCAGCCCCATTAATATCCCTTCTCTGAATTAGGACCCTGTCTCTCCAAGGCCTCTGTGACCTGAGTCCATTCTCTAGTTTTACAATAATGAATTTATAACAGTGTCTACAGAACACATGCCCCAAACCCATTAGCAGAGTAGGTAACACAAAACACTTTCCTTTGTGTTTTTTGTATTTTAGACTCTGGTAACATTGTAAATGCGTTCTTTCTTTAGTCAGAGACTCTGTGTAGGAATTTATGTTATGGAAATTCTGTTTAAACTGCTAAGAGGTTTAGTTTTCATTTTTCTTTTTATTTTCAGTTTTTCCTATTTTTAAAAATTTATTTATTCTAATTCATTATATATGACAGCAGAGTGCATTTTAATTCATAGTACACATGTAGAGTACACTTTTTCATGTCTCTGATTGTACACAAAAAGTAGAGTCATATCATTTATGTCTTCATACATGTACTTAGTTAGGGTAATGATATCCATCTCATTCCACCATCTTTCCTACACCCCTGTCCCCTCCCTTCCTCTCCCTCCACTTTACCCTATTTAACGTTCCTCCATTTCTCCCATGCTCCCTCCAACATACCCATTATGCATCAGCATCCTCATATCAGAGAAAACATTCACCATTTGTTTTTGGGGGATTGGCTTACTTAGCATAATATTCTCCAACTCCATCCATTTACCTACAAATGCCATGATTTTATTCTCTTTTATTGCTGAGTAATATTCCAATGTGTATATATGCCACATATTTTTTATCCATTCATCTACTGAAGGGCATCTAGGTTAGTTCCACAGTTCAGCTATTGTGAATTGTGCTTCTATAAACATTGAGGTGGCTGTGTCCCTGTAGTATGCTGTTTTTAAGTTCTTTGGGTATAAACTGAGGAGTGGGATAGCTGAGTCAAATGGTGGTTCCATTCCAAGTTGGTTTCCCCCACTCACATGCATACTAATATTTGTATTTGCATCTAATTAAATTACAGCTGTTTTTAAAACTGCCACTACTATTCTGCAACTTTGTTTTCTACTTAACAGTACATTATAAACACACTCACAGGACAGTGGCACATACAGATACTAATTTATCCATTTTGAGAGCTGCACCCATTTAAAATTAACATGCCTGTGCCATAGATTAGCTCCCTGATCCCCCCTCTACAGATGGAAATCAACATTGTTTTCAATTCTTAGAGTTATGAATTATGCTGAAATGACCCTGGTCTGAAAGTGTGTCTGTATTTTCACATTTATGTGTTTGTTCCCACAAAATGAATTTCTAGACATGGAGATGCTGAGAGAATAAACACTTGAAGTGCTAGTGGAGTGATTTTTTTGTATCCCTTTAAATACAAAAAAATCATGGTGCTTCTCAGAGGCCAAGAAAATCAAACCTGAAAACAACATTGTTTAACACTAGGGAGTGGCCCTGTTCTTCTGGAGGGAGTCTGGAACTTCTGAGGTTGTAAAAGCCCCCAAACATCTGAGAGAGAGAAGTAAAGAGAGATGTGCAGCCAGGAGTGGTGACACACCCCTGTCATCCCAGGAACTCAGGAGGTTGATGCAGACAGATCACAAGTTGGAGGCCAGCCTTAGCAATTTAGTAAGGCCCTAAGCAATTCAGTGAGACCCTGTCTCAAAATCCAAAATGAAAAGGGGTGAGGGTGGGAGTGTAGCTCAGTAGTAAATGCCCCTGGTTCAATTCCAGGAACCAATAAAAATAACAATAAAATCAATTAAACAAACAAAAAAATCCCACTGCTCTGGGCCATGGGGAGTCCCTCAGCTCAGAACATCATCTGCCTCAGCTCCCTCAGGACCTGGTGAGGGGACCTTGGGTGCCAACCCACATCCCCTGCACCATACCTTCTCCCAATCTCCGCTCTTCCCTCCACTGGCTCTGGGGCCTTGGGCAAGCGATATTCTCTTTGAGCCTTGTTTTCTTCATCAACAAAATGGACATAATTAGTAGGGCCAGCCACACGGGTTGAGGATTAAATGTCATAAACATGCTGAGGCATGGTGCCCGGTGTATAAACAACATCCAGAAAATGTTAGATTTCCAAATGCCCTTTTCCCAGAAGGGCAGAGCCCCTTCCTGCTCAAGGGCTTTGGGATACAGCATTCATTTATTGACTCGTTCATTCCTCATCCTTTTTTTTTTTTTTAAAGAGAGAGAGAGAGAGAATTTTTTAATATTTATTTTTTAATTTTCAGCGGGCACAACCTCTTTGTATGTGGTGCTGAGGATTGAACCTGGGCGGCACGCATGCCAGGTGAGCACGCTACCGCTTGAGCCACATCCCCAGCCCTCATACTTTTTTTTTTTTTTTAATTTTAGTTGTAGATGAACACAATATCTTTATTTTTATTTATTTTTATGTAGTGCTGAGGATCAAACCCAGGGCCTCACCCATGCAAGGCAAGTGATCTACCACTGAGCTACAGCCCCAGCTCCCATTCCTCATACTTCTAAATTTGGTGGGTCAGGGTGGTCAGCTACTCAACAAGCACAGGAGGAAACCAGTCCTCACTGGCTGTGTGATGTGACCTGGGAAATGACTGAACTTCTC